CTGCAAGCTCACCAACCTGCAGCTGGCCCAGAGCCAGGGGGCCGAGGCCGCGCCCCGCGGGGAAGGGGAGCCGGAGCCCACGGGCTCGCGGGGCAGCCTGGCGCCACGCCACCCCAACAACTTGCCCCATGGGCGCCGAGTGCACAAGAGTCGGGCCAAGGGACACCGTGCGGGGGAAGCGGGCGGCAAGAACCGGCTGAAGGCCCTGCGCGGGGGCGCGGCGGCCGCGGCCTCGGAGCTGCTGAGCAGCGAGAGCGGCAGTCTGCACCACAGCCCATCCGACAGCTACCCGGGCAGCAGCCGCAACAGCCCGGGCGCCGGGCGCCAGCACGAGGGCGAGCCCATGCTCACGCCGTCCGAGGGCAGCGACACCAGCGCCGCGCCGCTCCCCGGGGCGGGCCGGCCGGGCCAGCGGCGCTGCACCAGCCGCGACAGCCTCAAGGGCGGCGGGGCGCTGGAGGAGAGCAAGCGCCGCTCCTACCCGCTCAACGCGGCCAGTCTGAACGGCGTCCCCAAGGTGGGCAAATACGACCTCAGCATGACGGGCGCGGAGGCCACTGGCGGAGGCTGCATGAAGACGGGCCTCTGGAAGAGCGAGACCACCGTCTAGGATGGGGGTGGGCACTGGAGAACAAGCTGGCCTCGAGCCCCTCCAAGGTGTCTCTTAGAAGGGGCGGGATGGGTGACCGCATCTGCTCTAGGTCCTGGAGGCAAGAAGCTGCCACTTCCCAAGAGGGTGATCCCTCCGGGGTAGCGACGGACAATCGCTAGACGTGTGTGATACATTTCTGTCCCGGCGCAGGCTAGTTCTGGTCGCCTTATTGGTGCCTATTGGTGTTGGGGAGAAAGCCCCCACTGAGCCCACAGTGACCTATAACCACGGTGGCAGGGCTCTGCGCAGCCCAGGTGGGCTCCTCCATAGGTACTCCACCACCCACCCACATTGCCTCAATGATCCCCACCAGCCTCGTCAGGATACCCCAGTAGGAGTCTGGGAACTGCCTGCTCTCCTCTATTCACTACCTTCCTAGACCTTGGGCCTCCACCCACCCAGGTTTTGGCTATGGGAGGGGCCAGCCTAGTGGATGAGCCAGGTGACAAGAATAAGGCGCTGCTTTTCAGGTGAACTACGCAAGGGAGGGTGGGGCACGGCAGCTGTCAGAGATTATCCAGGGGCGAGTGAGGTAGGCTAGTGGAAGGGGATGAAAAAAACATTCTGAGCAGCACCTAAACCTATGCAGGGCTCAGAGGCACACTTTAGGACAAAGCGTTAGACCTAAAACTGACTCTGCCAGTTGTCAGGAATTGCAGGAAGTAGAGGGTGCTAGTACTTGGGGTAGAATCCAGTCACGGCCTCAATGTGGTCTGAAGAGGGGCTCTGATGGATGGCTGCTGGTGGTTACTGGCAGAAACAATGTCCATTACCAGGCCCAAGGAATCGAGGAGGAATGTGCCCTTGCCTCATTGAGGCCACATGGAAGAACCACGCCCAACCACACACGCCCAACCACACAATCTTTAGAACCAGTGGACCCCCCCCAAAACATCAAACTGGTTCTGGACTCAAGTCAAACTGCAAAGCAGTGCCTAGAAGCCCTGAGCTCATCTGGGTCCTTGTCTCTTCCACTTAGCAACACCAGCACCTGTAAGCAAGCACCAGCCTTTTATCACAGGCCAAATGCAGGTGGAGGGAACCTTGGGCCTGCATAGTAGAGCAAGCCTGGCCCTGGTCCCCTCCCAAGCTCAATGCCACCACAGCACAAATCATAAGGGAAGAGGAGGGGAGCCCACACTTAGGATGGATCCTGTTATTTATGCTTGCTGCACAGACAATATTAGGGAAAAGAGAAAAAAAAAGCTTTCTATTATTCTTCCACATATGCTGGCTGCTGTTTACATACCCTGCCAATGCCTTAGCACTGGAGAGCTTTTTGCAATATGCTGGGGAAAGGGGAGGGAGGGACTGAAAAGTGCCAAAGAAAACACATTTTTAAAAGCTCGGGTTTTATACAATAGAATGTTTTCTAGCAGATGCCTCTTGTTTTAATATATTAAAATTTTGCAAAACCTTCAGAGCTAGAACCAGAGTACACCAACGATTCTTTTATTATGAGGAATCTCACAACACCACACACACAAAGACCAACACCTGTGAACGGACAGACACCTGTGCCTGCTCCTGAAGGGTGCTACCACTGGAAATGCCCTAGGTTCCGCCAACAGCAGGGAAACCCATCAGGTCTGCAGAGGCAGCAGCGTGTCTAATTCAAAGTGTGAGCAGAAGCGCACGTAATACTTTCCCAATGGCGTAAGAACAAAGCCACCCCCCTGCAAATGAACGTATGTAACTTGCTCTCGGACATCGAGGTGGCTCTGGTCACCATGGGAGTACCCATGGTCATTCCCTGCGTCCTGACTTCTACTCAGAACCTGGGGCTGAACGCATCATACTGCCGTTCTGGGTTCCTTCACACAAGAAATAACAAACAAAACCCAAGAAATAATGAATTTATCTAGAAACGATTGGGCCCGTTATCAAGCTGCTGTCAGAATGGGGTGTGAAGAGCGCATGTGGGGTGTGCATCAGGGCTGGTTAGGAACATCCTTGGTGGCCAGTCCAGCAGCTTGGGCTCTCTGAAAGTCCTCAACTTCCTCGGGGCTGCGCAGATACTGCTCTATCTCACTGTCAGAGATATCCTCATCTCCAGTGACTGGGCGAACAGTGGGTGGGAGACGGGGCTGCTTTCGGGGCTTCAGCATGCAAGGAGGGAGGAGAAGGCCAGGACTAGCTGGGCGCTTCCCCAGAGGCAAATCTAAGGAACTATTCCCCACCTCCTCTTCCATCCTTGGCTGTGGGCCACTCGATTGGGCCTCCCTCTCTCCTGTTCCATCCAGAAAGGCCTTGTGGATCAGAGTGTGGCGGTGCTGCAGAAGGTCCTCAATGTGCTTCACCACAGAGCGTTTGTTGAGTTTCAAGATCCGCAACCAGACTAAGTGCTCAGACATCTTCAGCAGCACAGCCAGCAGCTCCTGCAGGCGGGCAGCAGCAGGGTAGGGCAGATCCACATTTGCCACTTGACAAAACCGGGCAAGGGAACACGCCAGACGTCCTGATGGGTGTAGGGACTGCCAGGCCAGGAAAGCAGCTGCAGTGATGACTGGCAGAGGGTGTCGCCCAGTCACCAGCCATGTGTCATTCGCCAGCTCCACTATCTGCAATGTCCGCGACAGCATCCTCTCTTTGTCTTCCACAAACTTGGCTGGCATACACGGGGTGGGCTGGAACAGTTTGAAGCTGAAACAACCAAAATGAGGACAGGTCTCAGAAAGGATTTCTTTTCCAAGGAGAGGAAGCACAGTGCACTCAAGATGGAGAGGCTTTTCCCTCAGGAACACACAAGCTTGCTGAGCAGCAAGTTTCTACCAGGCTAGTCTTGCTTCCTAGGTGAAGGGAGAGGGACTACAGAAAGCAGCTAGCAGTTATTAAGCACCCCCTGGTAGCCATTACTCCGAGTGCTTCACAAATGCTCTCACTTAATCCACACCACTACATCTATCAACTCCCATTTGTAATTCCAAACCAGACTCACAAGACTCTCCAGGACAGAACCGAACTGCTCCTGTGGGCTCAGTAACTACAGGAAAAAGCCTTATCTTTTGCCCATGGAACACCTGGTGGTTTTGAACAGCTGACCCCGCAATTTAGTTAGGGGGAAAAACGTGTCCACAGTCACTAGCTAGTAAGAAACCAACCTTCAAACTCAACACCTTTGACACCAAAGATGATCCACCACTAGGGAGTTGATTCCTACTCACAGCAACCTGGTAGGACACAGTAGAACTGCTCCACAGGGTTTCTGAAGCAGACCGCCTCATCTTTCTCCTGTGGAGAGGCTGGTGAGCCCAACCACCTACCTTTCAGCTAACAGTCAGGTACGTAACCTATTAGAACATTACAAAAATATAAAATGGGACTCAAAGTTATTAGTACTGGGGAATAAAGATAAGAAGTGAATTTCTCTCCTGCATCCTTTTAGCCAGGCTTTGGTTTAAACAAAGAAAAAAAAGCAGCCAATGGTCAGAGGATTGAGGTCTTAGAAACAAAACAGGCACCAATCCCTTGCCATCCCAACCCTGTGATTCCTGACTCGGCAGGTACCTGCTACAGTACGTCTTCACCAGCTCCGCCAAGCACAGAGATGGCACATCCAGGCCCAGAAGCTTCACTATCTGCATGTAGGCGCCAGAAAACACATCCAAGTCGGCATAGATCATGGTGCAGAGGGTTCCCATGGTTAGGGCCCAGTTATGCTGCCTGCAGGTGATCAAGACACAGCAGCCCACCAACACCTCCTTCTTTTGCAGCCTGGCAGCACGGATGCCAGGGTGACGGTATGCTTTTTGGTAGTAAGCAATTGCAGTGTCCTCAAATGTCGACGGCAACCGCAGAAGTCGACAGAGGTCTCTCACTCGAAGGAGGCCTGAGAAAACCCAGAGCTTTGGTTAGGGGCAGGTAGGGGTGGGGGGGGGCAGGTCAAAGGAGCTACTGTGTAGCTTCCAAAACGTTCTGCTAATGTGGCCTCAGATGCCAATCACAAATGCACCTTTCCACAATTACAGGAGTGACAGTGGTCTTTTTTTCCCCACCCCTAAAGGCACAATGGCATTTATGCAAACAAATCACATTTGAGCCCACCCTTTTTGGAGGCTTGACTCATCAGGGCCAGACCTAAGTTTTATCCAGGCTCCTGGAAGGCACCTCAAATGTGCCCTTGAGCAGACTCCAATCGTATTCTGAATCGCTGCCCCTCTAAGAACCATCCTCCCCCATCCTTCATTTCCAAATACCATTCTTGTCTACTCTGCACGACACCCAGGAGCCCTGTTGGTGCAGTGGTCAGCCCTGCCAGTGGCTCTGCATGAGAACGATGAGATCGCTGTATCGTTCTGAAAGGGTTACAGCCTCGAAACCCAGATAGGGAAGTTCTAGTGTCAGGTGAGGTTTTTAAGAGCTGGAATTGGCTCCACAGCACCCCCACCCCACCCCCCACACCAGGAACGCACCAAACTGGATAAGCAAGCTGGATAAGCAAGCGGCAAACTGGAAAAGCAAGCAGAAGGACTTATCCATGATGATCTTTAAAGACATTGTCACAAACTCTTACCTCGCTGCTGGCTGCGGCTAACTTGCTCATTTTCTCCGGTGCTTCGGCTATATGCTACCTCTGTAAAGACAATGGACATCAAATAGTTTACTTCGCCTTTAGGGCCCAGCACTAAAACAAATCAACGGTTCCAACTTTCCAATCGCCTTTTCGGGGCCTCTAACTCGGGCCATTTCCCTGGCTGCACATTTTGAGGGCTGCCTTGGTCAGGAATTTGAGCGCGGCGGTTGGGGGTGGGGGAAGATGCCAATTAGTGCTAAAAACGACTTGCTACAGTCCTAAAAAATTAACCCATAAGGCCTTCACCAGGCACAACCCAGGCAAGGTACACGCACCCAACACTTAAATCAGGCCTACTACGTAGTCCGGATTCGGTAAGCGCATAGGGCCGAGCGCCATCCGGGCCTCCGGCCGTTGGTCCGTTTACTCGGCGCGGTTTTCTCTCTCAGGGTTCGGTGCGCGCGGCAGTCAACGGGGGGATTAAAAAATATCCGCCCTTCGAGTCACCCGGCTGCCCCCCGCCCAAGCACACGGGTACCTCGGAGGTTGCCCTCGTCAGCGAAGGTGGTGGTGAGGATGCCCTCGGTGACGATGCAGCCGCAGTCGGAGCACACCAGCTGACTCTGAGAATAGTGCGAGTCCTCCACGAGCGCCCCGGAGCTGCAGTCGGGGCAGCGGCGTCCCCCCGGCACCGTGCAGCCTGCCCGGGGCCACCCTGGGGACCCGCCGGCACGCATGACCCCTTCAGCGAGCAAGCCCTCGGCTCCAACGACGCAACAAGATGGAGACGACCTGCCGAAGACCTGCCCTTTCCTCTTCCGGTAGGAGTGAGGCCCCGCCCGCCGCGATGTTGCGTCACTTCCGGTCGCGTCTCCGCTGACTCGGGCGGAAACCTTGGCTCGGAGACGAGGTTCCGAGGTTGCGCCGCGTCGCGGGGTTCCCTGGCTTTCCATGGTTTGTTTGGAAGGAGGGGTCGACGGGAAGTTAATTTTGACAAACTTTCTACAGACGAATATGACAGGCACGAAATGCTGAGCCCGGTCTTCGTTTCCCATTGCCAGTGAATGTTAGACATAGTAGAAAGGGCGTGAGAGGTATTGTAACTGGAGAGCAAGAAAACGTGTCCTATTTCCCAGGGCTTCCTCCCAAGCAGGTTCTTTCCCCTCTTTGAGACATCTTTTTGTCAACTTCAGAGTAAGGGAGTTTAATTAAAACACCCTGAGAGGGGAGGCACTAGGGCCTTTTGGTACACTGCAGAGTCCAAGCAAATGCAGGTGTTTTTAAAGTCAAGAGCTTTAAGAGGCTCAACGTTTGATTCTGGCCCCAAAGTTCCTGACTTGTAATAGGATATATCAAACTATCGAGCAAAACCGTGTCCCTAGTAATGTCATCACAGAAATGAATAGAATAACATGAAACACAAAACCAAGCTTACAAATGAGAATCTAGGGCGTCATATCTTAAAAGCCACCAAAAAGGAAATGTATTTCTTGCAAGTAAATACATCTTACTTATGCTCGTTTAAAATCTCTTAAAACTTGGAATTTTTAGTTTCAGTTGTGTCTACGATATAAAAAGGTTCAGACAATGACAAGCCAAGTGAGAGATAGGCAGTTAATAAGGCCCTTCTTGCCTTAATTCCTTATGGTTAGATGTATACTATACGTGACATTGCAGGCTCTGTGCTTTATGGCTGTGATCTCATTCTGGAGGGAGTTCTCTGTTACAGAATTAAGCTGGGGCTAAGTCTTGACCTCTGTAGAGAGTGTGAACCAAGTCACACCCTTTGTTTACTGGGGGGGGGGCATCTGTAAGACTACTAGAGAGTGTGACTTACAACAGCATCCTTCGTTTTCTTTGGGCATGTGGTTGGCTGAAAGACAAAAAGCACACCTCTATCCAAAGCCATTCCTTTGTGTGTAAGAGTCACGAGAGACACGGAAATATGAGGACCATGGGAAGGGCAACCTCCAAGACCTGTCTGAAGCAGCGGAGGCTTCCAACACCAGGTGCACCAGCAACTGTGGCACAGAGACTCAGGGGGCATCACAAGACTAAAAGGTACTTTCTCCTCATTTGGCCCAAGACTATGGAACTGTGAGACAGAGCAACAGATAGGCTGGCATCCTGGCCCACACAGACAGAAGCTAAGGGACTGTATGGCTGAGAAGCTAAGGCCCAAAGAGAGACTCGGCTGCAGGCTGAGGAGAGGTGTTGCTATGGACCAGTGACTGTAGGCTTACTTTGTACTGATCTTGTGGTCATCTAGTCACTTCCTTAACAAGCCGTCTTAATTGTGAGTACTACCTGAGTTCTGTGTGGTCATTGCAATGAGTTATTGAACCCACCATCGAAGTAGAGTAGTGGGTGAGGAACAGTTGGTGCTGGCACAGGTAAAGAAGGGTGGAGAGTGGAGGCTTATGGCAATAGGGAAGCCAGAGGAGGTCAGAGGTGGCCCCCACACTGTTTATTGCACAAAGGTCTGTCTGTGGTGCATTCACAGATGCAGGTGGGAGTAATCACAGCAAGGACTGGAAGTGTTTATGGAAAATTTGTGTTTCTCAGGCCGACAATGGAGATTTTCAGATAAGTCCCAGGCATGAACCGATTTTGGAAGCTATCATGGCCTCACTTTTAACCTTGCAGTTGGGAAACGGGGGTGGAGAATGAGGTCAGCGCTTTGTGTTGAGAAGAGTAAGTACACACGGACAGCTCCCACCTAGAATGAAGTGTACACTGTCAGCCCATTAACAACTAGGCATGCTCCCTCAAAGATACATGTCTCTTCTGGCTTCTTTAGGGTACCAAGGCATCATTATGAAACCTAGAACTAGAAGAAGGGGGGGAAAACCTCAAAAAGATAAAACTCTGTTTACCAGTCTGAGGAGAGGAGCAGACCAAGTACCTAGATGGCCCTAGTACCAAGTCCCTGTAACTCCTCAAATAGAGGACATGAGGCTCAAAAAGAAAGAATCCGATCAGGCAGGCCTATGTGGACTCTTTTGAAAGAGTCAGAAGCAATGAAATTGTGAATTCCCTAGACAACAGTGATCATCTCTGACCAAAAACATGCCTCATTTTCTTTAGAATGCAAACATCACATGTTACTTTTCTCTAAATATGGAAAGAGTTTCACAAGTCCTTCTTTTCTGCTCACAGATTCTCTGCAGCCTCTCCTCCCTCACTCCTGCAGCTAGGCCCCAGGGGGCTAGCAACACGCCGCTTCTGTGGACAGGGCCGACGGTTGACCCCTGCATACGAAGTAGCCAAGCTTCCACACCGGCCCCACGGGACAGTTAGCAGACGGTCACGGAGAGTTGTGGAACTTCAGTTTATTGTGATGGTGGTTAGGTTGGACTCTTAGCGCCTGAGATAGTTTATTGTGCCAGCCTGGCGGATAAACAGCCTGCCTAACACAGCGCCCCAAAGTACAACAGAACAAAACACAGCCCAGTCCTGCGCCATCCACGTTTTCACCGCTGTTGAGCCCATTGTTGCAGCCACCCTCCGTGTCAGTCTGTCTGGTTGAGGGCCTGCCTCTGTCTCACTGATCCTCCGCATTGGCAAGCATGCCGTCCTCTAGAATATCGACAGGAGTAGTGCAAAGACTGGCACCTTCAGAAGGCGGTCTGCACCTTCCGAAAGAAAGCAGTGACAAGACGGAAAGTTCCTTACACAGTGTCAGTCCCCTCTTTCCCTCCCCCGGTTCTCTTGCTTCTCAGACGGAGGGGGGCCATCCCTCCCCAAGAGACTGCCATCTCAACCTAGGAGAAGCCGGACTCCCTTAGAGAGGAACTCCATCCTGCACCCCAAAGCAGTGCATTGGGATCAACTCGATGGTACTTAACATCAACACGCCAGGGCTGGATCACACCAGGAAGCACCATCTCACTACCCCTCCTTTCCCCCTGCCCAAACTCCTGAACCAAGAAGCATATTAATTCCCAGAAATCCATTTCCTAACCTTTGAACTATCCACTGTCGTCCCACACCACAAGGGGCCGCAGCACAGCAGCAGCTGGTGGGTTTCGGCTTCTGAGGCCCCTCTCTGTAGATTGCCCCACTCGAGTCCTGCATGAGGTGGCATTTCTTTCTGGTTGCCCAGCAGGCAAATAGTAAGACACACACATGCACACACGCGCCTCTATTTTTGCACTGTCCATGAATTTTAAAGCCGTTGACGACCATACATCCCAAGTGGAGGGAACCGCATCCCTAAAAGGACTGTAATTAGCATTAGAAGTGGTTCCTGAATGCTTCCACAGAACACTTTCAGACCTCTCTCTTTTCCGGTTTTGTTTGGGCGGATAACTGTCAGCAGTCTGAAACCACCGCCTGCCCCACAGGCGGAAGATGGGCTCTACTCCCTAAACAGTTACAGTCTCGGAAACTCACAGGGTCAATTCGACCCTGTCCTAGAGGGTTGCTATCAGTCGGAATCGACTTGATGGCCGTGAGTTGAGAACCTCTTTTTTCTCTTTTAGTGATTTTGTTACAGAGCCATCCACCAATATCCCGATGGCAAAAGCCTTGAGATTACACTTTCTCCAATACTCATTGTAATATGGAAGAAGGGTTGGTTTAACTAGTCGAGGGGATTTACTCTTCCAGCCACAAGGGCATGATCTCCTCAGAGTCTAGAGCAGTGGTTCTCAGCCTTCCTAATGCTGCGACCCTTTCATGCAGTACCTCATGTTGCAGGGAGCCCCAACCATAAATGATTTCATTGCTACTTCATAACTAATTTTGCTACTGTTATGAATCATAATGTAAATATCTGATATGCAGGATGTGTTTTTTAAATTATCATTTTATTGGGGACTCTTACATCTCGTTACAATCCATTGATTGCATCAGGCATGTTTATACATACGTTGCCTTCATTCATTTGCAGACATTTACTTTCTATTGACTCCTTGGTATCGGCTCATTTTTTTCCTCTTCCTTTCCGACCATACTCCCTTGGTAGATTATAAATTATTATTTTCATGTTACACCGACCACTGTCTCCCTTCCCCCGTGTTTTCAGTTGTTCTTTGTCAGTCATTGTGATTGATTCCCCCCTTCTCCCTCCCGCCCCGCCCCCCCCCCCCCCCCCCCCCCCCCGTGCATTTTCATTGTTACAAATGGAACATCATTAAAGCATAGTGATTCATCACAAAACAGTATGTAATTATATATTGTGAAGTATTTCTTTCTAATGACAAGTAAATTAAAGTTTGTCTTGAAGCACAGTGCAGCATGGGTAACTCGTCTGGGGGCGCATCTGCAGGTGGGCCGACCCGCCCAGAGACGGCTAGAGGAGGGTGTCTCGGGTCCTAAGACCATGGGAAATGTTTTCCGATGGTCTTAGGCGGCCCCCGTGAAAGGGTCGTTCGACCCCCGAAGGGGTCTCGACCCACAGGTGGCGAGCGGCTGCGCAGGGCCCGTGGGTCGGACGTGCCGGAGGCGGGCGCGCGGGGAGCCGCCGGAGCCGCCGGAAGAGGGCGCCCTCGCCGAGCCGCTCTGCCGGGCGGGAGGAAGAGGGCTGACTCGCTGGTCCGCGCGGCGGGGACTCACCTGCACCGCCGCAGCGCTTCCGGCCTCGGCAGGGCCGCCAGGGCATGGACTGTGTGCCCCCGGCCCCCACCCAAGGAGTGTACCAGCCCTAACCTCTGTGCCTACAAATAGGACCCTGTTTTGTTTTGTTTTAAAAAGCTTTCATTTGTTAGTTAACAAGAAGATAACATGGCGGGGG